TGGGTCAAACATTGATGTTATCGGTATGCAATTTTTACTCCCATATTATTTTAAATTAAATCTCAAATTGGTTTTTTGTTGGTCGCATCTTCAAATATTGATTCTCCTTCTACAATTAAATTGATGTAAAGTAAAAACTCTTTATTCTCAATTGTTGATTAACATGAAACTCAATTGAATTAGTAAAAGTATATATTTATTTTTTGGTGACAATGCCGCCAATGGAAAGGTCAGTAATCAGAACCCTAGAAAAAAAATTCCGATTTAGCCAACGAACCCCTCAATGGGTAACCGCCGAAGAAGGTCGCTCAAGAGCTAGACTTTCGATACACTTCTTCATATCCTGTCCGTTGGCTATGCCGATTCTTCTATCACTCAAAATTCAGGTATATGCTTGTATCTGTGTGCATGAATTGATTATTTCAGTCGATTCAATGTCAATGAGCCTTTTTTAACATAAATTGCACCAGTCTTGATTTCTAGGGTTTTCTTTGTGTAGAGGAATAGGGGAGGGTTTAAGCCAGTGGCGACCTGTAAGTGTAACTGTAGTTGCAAATAGGTGTAGTGTAAAAGAGGTTGTGTCAATGACCTTCTTTTCATGGAAACTATCTTCAATTTCATGATCCTTGGGGTCCCGGAGCTAGGGAGGGTTAGCAGGTTGTGCCCCCTATGGTATTTCACCCCCAAAAGGATTTATGATCAATTTGTTGAAGTTTTCCTGGTGGAGGGAATGTACCCATCATATTTAATTGATGTGGAATAAAGCAAATGGAGATACTTTGAGTCAAAATTACATTGATTCTAGGATTTCAATTGGCCCATTGAAAATTTTTTGCACTGTTTTGTAGTGTGTAAAATAAATCAAAAACCAGAAATTTGTAAACATAGTAAAAAATAATTCAAAAAACCAAAATTATTAAAAGTATATATATATTTTTTTTGGTTCTGTTGATTTTTTTCTCAAAACTAATGGACTTTTATAAAAACTAGGAAAAGGTCCGTGCGTTGCACGGGTGAAAGTTTAGTGGCAAAAATATAAAGAAGTAAAAATAAAGCGCCAAAATTATAAAGAAGAAAAGTTTGTTGAAATTTTAGTGGCAAAATTAGTAAAAATAAAGTACCAAAACTATAAAGAGGAAAAGTTTGTTGAAACTTTAGTGACAAAATTATAAAAAAGTAAAAATAAAGTGGTAAAATTATAAAAGAATAAAGAAAAATGGTTTTAAAGAATGATAGCTGGAAGGTCCAATCTTTCTACATCTTATTTGTTGAGAGTTGTATGTATTTACATTCGAGAACTTCATTATATGTCAGGATCACTCAAAATGTAGCAATGTTAATTGGAACAACAATGATAGCAGGAAATTAAGAGATAATTTCATGACAATTGAGATTCACCACAACAATAATGAGAATGAAGATTCTTTCAAGAATAACTTATATTAAATATTGTATTCTTATAGAATGAAGATTTTTTCAGAATGACTTCCTATAAAACATTGTATGCTTGTAGAATGTGATAAATATTCCAAGAATTGCATTATACTTTTATACTTTTACAGAATGTGACTATAAATTTGTTTTATTTATTTATTTTTGGATATTAGTTTCTTGAATATTGCTAATACTAGATGATTATTCTTTAAGAATCTTCTTATTCTTCAAACTCGTGGTTCAAAATTTTGATATTGTTTATTATGTTCATTCAATAAGAATATTTATTCTTTCAGAATATCAATTATGTTAGAAGTTGTATTATACCAAAATATGTAATTAAAAAAAAACAGAATTCAAAATTAAAATAATAAAAAATCCCTTAAAATCCAAAAATTCCTTTTTTAAATTTATGTTTCCTAATTTGAAAATAATGGAAATATACAATTTTATCCTTCTTTTAATTAAATGGTATTATTTGATTTTTTTAATTTAATAATATGGATAAATGACTTTCTTAAAATATAACTAAAATGATTGGTCCATAATCATTCCTACATCCACACAATAGTTAGTTAGAACACAATAACATATATATATATATATATATATATATATATATATATATATATATATATATATATATATATATATATATATATAGGGCTAGGTTATAATGTGGATGGACAACTATTGTGCGGACGTGTGGACAATGCTATTCTATGAGAATTACTAAGAGAATATGTTGTTTTTTAATGTGAATACGTTCAACCTTACACAACTATAGCCATTTTCATTCATTCTCACTAAATTTTACTTATTTTTGTTCTCACACATTGTTTTTTACTCATTATCATTCTTATAGAATAGACTCAATAAACATTCTGACAGAACGAGAATAATAAACAAAAAGTCTATAATAACCTTATAGACGATTTAATTAGTGAGAATGCGTGATAATCACAATAGTTATATAAGATTGAACGTATTCACATAACCAAACAACGTATTTTCTTTATCATTCTTACGGAATAGCTTTGTCCACACGTCCGCACAATAGATGTCAATCTACATTTGAACATAGCTATATATACATATGATTGCTTCCGGGCAAAACTTTGAGTTGGGTTTTAATTTTAGTTTTTTTTATGTGGGTTTTGATTTCATATTTGAAAGAGAGAGAGAGAGAGAGCATGTGTATAATTTTGTTTGTGTGTGCATGTGTGTGTTCATAGGTATGATCTTGAGTTTTGAAAAAATCCGTAAAAGAGAGAGAGAGAGAGAGAGAGAGAGCATGTGTATAATTTTGTTTGTGTGTGTTCGTAGGTATGATCTTGAGTTTTGAAAAAATCCGTAAGAGAGAGAGAGAGAGGGGGTTTAATAATAACTAGGAAAAGGCCCGTGCGTTGTACGGGTCATTCTTTTTAGAAAAAAATAGAGAGCAAAAGAATATGGTAAACGAAATAACAAAGAATAAAGAAAAAAGATTGAATTTAGCAACTTTTTAGAAAATATGTGGCGAAAGTCTGAATGTTAAAAAGTTCGGGTTGATAATAGAAGATGGAAAAAGTATCAAAATAGAAGAATGTTGGAAAACGGTATTAAACTGTAAATGGATTAAAAAAACGGAGCACTTTTGGGAAATACCAAAAATGCCCTTGATATTTATCGATTTTAGGCTAACATATATACCAGGTTTTTTGTCCATATTATAGCATTCTACATTCATCAAAACATTAGACTTTTAAATAACATATTTGCATCTTACATGGATGATGACATGACACAGAAACTTGTAGTAAAGAAAAATACATTCATATTTGTTGCATTTGGCTCCAGATTGGACTAATTGTAAGGATAAAATTATTTGTATATTTGTAATCACTAAAGGCATAAAAACCTGTAAGAATGTAGTTTTTTAATCAACACTATTTTTAGTTTTGACACAGTGAAAACAGGTTTGGCTAAAAAGAGTAAGTTTTACCAGCTGTCATGGACATGCGTTTCCCTCGAGTAGTTCTAGAGCTGTAAACAGAAACAAAACAGTTAAGTATAATGACAAAAATACCCTTAAAGAAAAACTTTGGTAACATACACAAATCAATAAGCAAAGTGACTATTATTTTTTATTTTGGTAAAGTAAAACAACTAAAGCTGATGTGAGATCAAACCTTCAACAATATCATGATTGATCATGATACTCTTTATTTCTTTAAAACTCTTTCTTTGTCAACCTCTTCTATCGCACAAATAGACATCTATCTTGCTTCCGCTTCCAAATAAGCTGGCTTTCTTTCGGGTGTGAGTGGAGCAGAATGTGTGAATTAGAAATCTTTGTGTCCAATTCTTCAACAATGCCATACGATTCTTAATAAAACTTTACCTGGCCGATCTGTCTTGCATTTTGGTTTTGACTGTTGACATTGGCTGCATTGTCGGTGATGTTGTCTACAAGCTAACATAGGTAAAGTTACATAGCATTCATAGTTTTACCAGTGGAAATACAAACTTACATATCCAAGCTAATGTTAAAAAGGTGAAAGAGAGGGTTGTTATGAACCAATATAAGATAATCTAACCTTATTGAAGTGGAACCATCTGTAATAAGGCAATGTTTACATATAAACCGACATGGTCCTCTAGTGCCCTCTTTCCATCTTTTAGGAATATCCTGTTTTTATATAAAAACCAAAAACCAACCATCAAATCTCATGATAATAAAAGTCAAAATGTTAAGAAAAATACTTTTCACTTAAGCATTTTATCGAATAGATGGCAGACAAAAAAAATTATTCTAACCTGGCCACATCAAAATCTCAAACCCAACATTCTGATAAGCTACAACAATATGATAATCTGACATAAATTAATTCTAAAATCCAACCTTTTCATCAGTTGATTGTGGTGAGAAACATGTTTTGTTATTCATTGTTTGATCATCTCTAAATTCTAAAATCCCATCTCACTGTGCGTTCTTATTTCATTTTATTTCCTCTCCAAGCGGTAATAAGAATCTAGGAAAGTCGTAGCATCAGACACGGTAAACTTGGATTTGTTCTCTTCCTAGATTCTTGTTACCCATCATGAAATGCATCCCTTATAAACTGTATTAAAAAAAAACAACAACACATGAAGATATAACTTCCCTTGACATTACATCGACCACCTGGTAGACCAGAACTGGTAGCGACTTTCATCAGGTTTCCATCTTGTGTAGATGGACAAAAGTAAAAAATTTGGGAAACTCAATCCATTTCTAAATCGATCTTATAGTCAATGTTTAGTTTGTGTAGCCTCCATCCGTTCCTGCAAAATCTAATTTCTTGTTCGACCCAGCAGGCAGCAGCTGACAACCAATGACGACGAAGGAGATTTCAAACTCTGATTTCTTTACAAAAAAAGACGAAGTGAAAATAAGGGCACATGTGTCCATTCATTGAAATAAGCGTGAACACTTACGCAGAAATTAGGAGTCATCAACAAAAGATGTAAAATCTTCAACTTCAATCCATCTATTTTCTGTGAACCCTATATGCCGGAGCATCTTTGTGCGTGTGTCTCTCTTATCACAAAGCGGAAATAGAAAACAACCCAAACAGGATTTTAGAGAAGCGAAGGCTGATGATTGTGGTGGGCGTAAACAGAGGTGACATCGATGATAGAAAACGGTGCTAAAGGTGGTGGCGAAGGCGGTAAACAAATAGGAGAAAATCATTGAAACCTTCAAAATCTTCAGCAAGCATAAGGTAATCCGATTAAGTGACACAGACCTGGATTTCGGCGATTGAAGCGGCGGGTGTCAACAAAGGCGTCAGTGAGGGAAACTGCGATTGAAGTGGGTTTTTTTGAGTCGGTCTTCTTCTGACGTGCGCTTCGATCTGAAAGTTGCAACAAATAAAATTGAGAGGAGGATACCTGGGATTGGAACTTTGGGAACGATTTTCTGGTCGATTTTGTGAAGACAGTGAATCGACCGTCGTCAGTAGTTGCTTCCCCGGGGCAGCAAGCTTGAGAAACGGTGGAGAGAAGGCGCAGTGTGTAGAATGAGCAGTGAGATGGGGTGGTGGTCTGGTGGACATGAAATTGTTGGGTTTGTGTAAGTGTTAAATCGGAAGAATGGCGGTTGAGGGATCTAGAACAAAAAAGAAGCGGCGGGATTCAACAAATGTAGGGGTAAAATTGTAAAAGCAGACTGTAGGGACGAAAACTATCAAAGTCCACAAAGAATGGTGACAGAAACCTAAAGTCGTAAACTATACTGTAACATCCCATGTGATTTAATATATATTAGCCGTTTACCAGCGACGGATGCGAATAGTTTCTTTTGATAATTATTTCTATTCAGAAACATGTATGATTCGGCAATATGTTTCTTTTCGACGGACAATAATTATTTTAATGTATTGGCAAGTATCACCAAACATTAGTTTCAATTCAACATTTTTTTGGAACCATAGGAACCAAATATTAGTGTCAGTTCAACGATTACTTTAATGTATACCAAACCAAAATGAAACCAGGTGATATCGATTGAATTTACATAAGTATATTTTCAGCGGAAAATGATTAGTTTCAATGCGGCAGGCAGCGTATACTTTGCTTCAGTAATTAGTTTCTTTTCGGGTAGGAAACTAAGAATCTGGGAAACCACGGGCACCATTTATGTGTTAAAATTTTCAATAACATCTTTGTGAACTTTAAATCATCGGATAATACTAACTAAAAAAATATACTCAAAACAACGGCATTTAATACAAGGACCATTCGGAAACACGTTATATTTAAAGAAATGGAAGGCAAATACATGTTGCTATCGGTCGGTTTTGCGGCAACAAATAGTTGTAACCCGCACAATACAACGGCAGTGCTTTTTTTATTGAGATTAGTTTCATTTCGAGTATAAGTTTTCTTTTGATGATTATTTTCATTTCGGAAACATATATTCCAAAAAGCGTATGGAGACAGGAATCAAGAAATCTATATAGGTTTCTTTAATTGTGACATTTGTCAAATATAAAAAAGAATAATTAATAAATTTATATTACAGCTGTGATTATCTAAAAGTAGTAGAAGAATGGATAGGAAAAAATAAGAAAGAAAATATTTAATTTCTCTTTCATGTATTAAAAAGTTTGCTTTTAAATCACAAAAACTTATATAAAAACAATTAAGATTGTTTAAAACACATTGTATAATATGCAACGACTTAGAAAATTAATAGTAAGAAGTTCTAAAAATGGTGATATTTAAATTTTTTAAGTAATATTGCCAACAATTATCTTAGATATGCTTTGGTTTTAAACATCATCATTTGAAATACACGATTATTTGGAAATATTGATCAAAATACCCTTAACAGACAAATAGATATAACTTGATTTTTTACAAAATTATTCTATAAAAAAGACTTTTTCCATTCCCTATAAATGCATATTAAATGAAAAAAGAATTACAATTATCAGATTAACATGTAGAAGATAATGAATATCTATCATTTTATCATAAAACATAAATAATGGCCACTGCTTTTACCATAAAATATAAAAAATGTCCACTGCGAGTAAATCATGATGCATCTCTTAGGCTCTAAGAATAATGTATGTATCTCATTGTTGCACCATGTTTATTGGGTACGGACATAAACTCCTTTCATGAGAACCAAAACTCATTGCAACTGGGTGTACAAGCAAAGAAAATAATATAATTTCTAACCGGATAAAGGGAAAGAAAGTAATAATAAAAAAACAATATTCACTAATATCTCATTAAGGCAATGAAGATCGTAAGAATTTGTGGGTTCCATTAAGTGTCATGTTATTAAAGAATCAGGGTTTTTTATTTAAAAAAAATTATTAAAGCATTGTACATTGAAGATACAATGCTATAATTGGGTGGTTGTATTCTAAGAATACCCAACTATAGCATTGTACTTTTGAAGTGGGATGTTTTAATAGGAAAATAATAAAAATATAATGTTTTTAAAACTTTTGATAAACAACTGAACATTGCAAGGTACATTGCTAGTTCTTGCATTTGACCCAAAAGGGGATAAAAGCAATAAATAATAGCAAATTGTTCTAGTTTCAATTTCTTTTGGTATTTGAAAGTATGATGCTTTGAAAATATTACAATTATTTCAGCTCACTATTATGGACAATATTACACAAAACTGCCCAATTTTACAGCTTAGAGGAATACTAAAAATCAACGAATATCCAGGTACGCACTCAAGGCTGACAGATCTGCTTAACAATAAAAACCAAGCATAAGCAAGAGGGTTAAATCCAAAACTGAAAAATCTTTAATAACCCCACTTTTGTCATAATATATGAAGTATACTTTAGTAACTTACAAAGTCATGAGTAAAGCATAAATTGAACCTCTCTGTTATACCATTCGATAAAGAAATCCCCAGAAGTAGAAGACGAAGATATGATGGCCCAACCTTGAACACTGATATTGATTATCCATTTCTGCGTTCACAAAGCTCTCCTGCTTCAACCTTTTTGCGTCCATTCAAGTTTTCAATTGGCACCACCTGAGAGATAAATAGAGATTAACATAATATAATATAATATAATATAATATAATATAATATAATATAATATATCTATATATCATGAAATATGTGAAGGTTTTATGTGTTAATGAAAAAATATATTAAAGAAAAAAGGAAACCTTTATAATGGTATTCTGGAGTGTTCTGTTGAGCAAGAGTGGATTCCTTTTAGATAAAGTTTGGTCTTCACTTAAGATGTAAAGGATCTTGAGTGCAAGTTCAGATGTAATAAGCTCTCGTGCATGCTGCCCAAAACTCTGGAAGACAACTAATCATCTGTCAAAAAGATCAGCTACCAATCATAACCTCAGACAACATAACATATTGTCTATATTTCCTTACATGTGATGTGATTTTGTAAATGAACTTACAAGAAGGATTCAGAACTTCGACTTGTCTTCTTCAATCTCATGTATCTTCTGGAAATATGTAACTACATTGAGTTCAGCTTGGTAGCCCCTGTTTGAACTTGTAAATGTCTCCATCTGTTGGATAGTCAAAGAGTCAAACAAGTATAAATGCTAGAAACAGGGAAAAGAAAAGACACAAAACTCACATGGAATCTACCTTGGTGACGATGAACCAATTTTTTTATCTCTTCCATTAGTGTGGCACTGGATAAAGGAGCAACGATAAACAAGTGTTACCTAAATTGATATGTATGTATCATACAATCAACGATCGAGAAACAATTGCCCTAGATTCAAAACCAAATGAAATGAAGAGGTGTTGAATGGATAATCAATATCAGTGCTCAAATTAGGGGTGTGTGTGCGTTTAGATCGTGATGCTCTTCCCACAAACCCACACAAAATATTCATTAGAGAAACCAAACATCCACAAAAAATGTTTACAAATATAAATTACTTTTGGGAGCACCTGATCGCGAGCTACGACAGAGGCGGAGGTGGGTTGTAATGTTGCCGGACCAGATGGTGGTTGAACGTGATGTTGGTGTGTGATGTTGCCGGAGTCAGGTGGCGATGGTGGAGGCGCTGAGACATTCAGCAACGACGCCAAGAGAGAGACGGTAGAGATTGGCTGTTGTGTAGAGGAGATTAGGGTAACTGCGTGTAATACTATAAAATACATGTAGGTGTTTGGGCTGTGAATGGTTGGTGGACTTCCAGGGCGTCGATTGAGAAGAGGAGACACTGTGATTTTTTGGTGAGTATCGATCGATTCTGAAGCAATTAGGAAGGAGACGCAAAGAAGAGGGGTTCGATTTTCTTATGATGGCGGCTGTTGTGTCTAGTGTTGTGTGTGATTAGGGTAACAACAAGGTAATACCGTGTATAATGTGATTATAAGCTTAATATTATTGTACATAACGTAATAGATATTGTACCTCTTAATTTTTAAGAAATAGGCAATATGTTTAATAATATAGTAAAGATAAAGATATATAATAATAAAAGACAATATAGTTTTTTATATTTATATTTAACACAAAACTACGTATGTTAGTTATAAGGACGAGGATACTTAAAGTTTAAAAAAAAAATTCATAAAAACTATTTTAGGAAAAGAAAACATAATACTATTTCTAAAATTTATCTTAAAGAATTCTCATATACTAAAAATTATTTTTGTTTTTTTGTCGAGATCTTTAATAAAAAATTAAAAACTTATATTCAAATATTAAAAAGTTTTTAAAGATGCGTGGAGCATCCTAGCAAAAATTCCGGTGCTTTCTATCGTGGCCTTCCATGTCATCAAAACCGCCATGAACGTGGCATTTCCATCCTTCTCCAACAAAAACACAGACTTCGCCTTCTATCTCTGTTTCTGCAATTCCTTCAGATGCTACCATTGTTAAAACCTTCCCACCATATAATATCATAGCAAGTGTAAACGACGCCCTGCTCCAAATTCCCCTCATTTCTAACTTCCTACTACGAGAATAACTAATACAAGGTAACCATATTAATTACTCGTCCTCTGCGATTCTCTCTTCTTCATGGTTATCTCTCCTCGATATCTGTTATTCTGTTTTTTCTTAAGAAGCTTCTTCCTCACTCTTATATCTTCTTCCTTCCAAAATCCGTTTGCAATTTTGACTAATTATTTCATTTTATGGCTTAGTATATATGCTTCTTCCATTAGTTTGTATATTTCTGTATAGTGATAAATGAATACGTGTATTTTCCGTAGAATTTGAGTTACCTTTTCTGTTTTGCGATTTCCATGAAGCTTTTCATGTGGGTTTTGACTTTTTAGTTCTTCTGAAGTTAAATGCAGTATAGAATCTAATCCTAATTGGCTTCTAATTTGGGGATAGTAATTGATGAATCTTTTTCGTTATACCAGGATGATGAATTCACAGCCTGCAACACATACTATAAGGTCTCATGGCCTAACCATATCCAGGATTCACATGCATGATTGGTTGATTCTTGCACTGCTATTAGCGATTATGTGTCTTCTAGGTCTTCTCCATCCTTTCCATCGTTTTATCGGAAAAGACATGATGGCCGATCTCAAGTATCCGATGAAGCCTAGCACCATCCCATTTTGGACTGTTCCAGTAAGTTCATCTTCTCCATCTTCCACACACAAACACAATTCCATGGTTAATTTCTCTTATTTCATGTTCCTTCAATTAGCTATATGCAGTTCTATTTCCAATTGCTATCTTCCTGGCATTCTATCTTCGTAGAAGAGATGTTTATGATCTTCACCATGCAGTGCTAGGTGATCAAATCTTTCAACTTCATTCTCATTATCCTCAATCGATTGAATCAGAATAATTTGATGTTCATCTGTTAATTACCACAGGGCTTTTGTTCTCTGTTTTTATCACTGGAGTTATAACAGAGGCTTTAAAAGGTGCAATTGGTCGACCTCGCCCAGACTTTTTCTGGCGTTGTTTTCCAGACGGAATAGATGTACGCATACCATCATATCAATCAATCCCATCATCATTTTCTTGTAAATTTCTCCAATCTTTTTCAGGTTTATGATCAATGGGGAGATGTTAAATGCCATGGTGATATCGATGTTGTAGGACAAGGCCATAAAAGCTTCCCAAGTGGGCATAGTTCATGTGAGTAAAAGACACATTTACCCTTTGATTACTCATACAAGATTCAAAAAAGACGCCTTTTTGTGATTTTATTGTAGGGTCTTTTGCGGGTTTGGGATTTTTATCGCTCTATTTATCTGGAAAAATAAGAGCATTTGATCAACAAGGCCATGCTGCAAAGCTATGCATAGTGTTTCTCCCATTAATTGTTGCATCTCTTGTTGCCATTTCGAGAGTGGATAATTATCGGCATCACTGGCAGGATGTATGTGTAGGAGGCCTTATAGGTGTGTGTGTGTGTGTTTCTTAATTAGTCCAATAACTATCTTTCTTGTTGCTTTTTTAAAAAGCATGCATTATTATGTATTATTGTAGGTATCACAATGGCCATATTTTGCTACTTGCAGTTTTTTGCACCACCATATCATGCTAAAGGTATGAACTTTGATGCCCCTTTTTGGATCTTGATTGCTTCTTGACATGAAATCGCCATTAACACTTATGATCATAAAGGTTGGGGACCTTATGCTTTCTTTCGGGCTTTAGAGGAGTCTTATGCAAATGCTAATAATGTGGGTGAAGTAGAAGTTCAGCAACATGAGAGGAATAATGATTTGGCAATGGGGTCTTCAATGGATTCACATATGTCGGTAGAGGATCTTGAATCTGGTAGGTGTTAGTCATTTTGATTATGCTAAAAGACTAGGTTGATTTGTTTATATGGTTCGCTCATGTTTTACATCCTTTTTGATTGTAAACTTGTAATCTATTTGTGTCTGGTTGAGACCAAAACCGAATTGTATAGAATACTAAGTCTTAAAAATTGCACATATGGTTACGTTTTGTAGTTACATGTAATGATGTAATGTAATGATGTAGTTTGAGTAAAATAGTGTAATATATTTGGCATTCAAGGACTTGCGTGAAGATTTAATATGAAAGGAATGTATAAAATGGGCATTTATATATAAAATGAAACCTTTTTCAATTTTGTTGAAATGAACAAATTTCGTGCGTGATTATTTGAGTTGTTTTGAATTTTCAAGTTTTATTGTAAATGAAACATTTTCAAGTTCCATGTGAGTTGACATGCCCGATGTTTATGTGTATATTAAATGTATGTCCACCATGCAAAATATGAGTAAAGAAATAAATCAATAATGGAAGGAAACATTCAATAAAGTAGGTAAATAAGCACATAAACATTGGGCATGTATACATGCAATAAAACATAACCATGGACTAAGGGCCAAACGGAAAGTCCAGAAAATAAAGCTTAAATCACAGACTAGAGAAAGTGTGGAAATAAGGGAAAAAGAAGGGAAATAAGAGAAAAAGAAGGGAGGTGGTTCCTACACAACAATTTTTTTCTATAAACAACAATTTGTGCATTAGAGTATTGTATTATAAAATTCTGTAAAACATAATTTGTTGTGTATGAAAAAATGTTGTGTACGAATTACTTCCTGTGAATCTATAAGCGTGCAAAATAAATATATAAATGTTGTAAGAAAAACACAATCATAAAAATAACCACCCTATTTCCACTTAATATCTTTCTATTTAACTAAAAGTATATCATTTTCGTTGTTAATATACGTTGTACTTTTTTAAGGGAACTGATTCGTGCACGATAGTTTTTCTCATACACAACAATTTATGTTTTAAAATGTTGTATTGTACAACTATATAAATCATAAATTATTGTGTATAAATAAAAATTATTGGGTAGAAATCACTTTCCATTTTATGTCTATTTCCCCTCTTGGTGGCTTTTATAAGCTTTTATATTTTAGTTCCCCCTTTTTGTGTCTTATCTTTTTATCTACCACTATTTTTGTTTTTGCCACCACTTTGTTAGCCTCTATTTATTGTCTTTGTATTTTTCATCCACTATGACTCTTCCATCGTTCCATGTCCTAACCACTATTTAAAAACCACTCAAAATGAGTTGTATAACCTTGACCTTATCTTGGACCTTCATGCTCCGCCACCATGATTATCTATGCTTCTTGGCATTCCCTATCAACATCCCAAAAGTGTTTTTTACAAAGTTTCGGATACTGCAAGTCACACTGTTCCATTACTTTACAATGTTCCTTGAATGCCATTCCAAAATTTGCTTATAAGACAACCCTCTTCATCTAATCCCCCGATGCCAAACAGTTTTTCCAAAAAATCCCTATTGTAGCTTCCGTGGCTCTCATTTAAACCCTCATTTTCAATAGTAATTAGTAAGTCCATTACCACCACTTTTGTGTTGCAATTCACATTCCTCTCCCGTATCACCTTGCGATCTATGCATGCCTTTAGGTCTTGTTTATGTGCTAACGAACGATAATCAAATGTCCGACCTATTTTAGAGGAGTTTAAAAATACCAAATTGTGAGCCGTTGCAAAATCAAGAAGTGTACGACCTTCTTCGTTCCTAGTACCGAAAGAGAAGCCCCCATGTACTCTCTGATATTCATAGTCTATATTCAATCAACAATTATTACTTTAAAGGGTTATTTCCAATAAAGACCCCATATTTACTGATTTTTTCGTTTTAAACCAAAAGGTTTGTTTGTTTCCCAAAAAAACCTAACTTTTTGCAAAAACTTGTTTGTTTGTCTTGTTACCGGGTGAGCAACCTGTCTTCCTCCTTTTCCTTTGCCTCCTCTGGTCCCTATAGAAAAACAAAACAGATCCACCTGGAATTCCAAATTTCACCATTGATTTTTTTATAACATCATTTTTTTCATATAAAAGTATCATTCAAAAATCAATACACTCACATGGCAAAAACTATCTCCTACTGCTGTCAATATACAAATTCGGATCACTCTCCAAATCTTCATCCATGTCATCATCAATATCCAAACTCCTAGTAAGATACTGATTCAAATTATTAGCTCCAACTGGAGGAATTGTAGCTTCTGCAATTATTTGCATAATTTCATCAACACTTTGCATCGGCGGGCCCACCAAATTGATCCATTGCATTTTCTTTTGTTAATTCTGCTGGCAAGTTCTTAAGAAACCATTCATGGTTTCTTATCTCATCCATTGTTCTCCGCTTAGCAGGATCAACAACAAAGATTCTATTCTGGAGATTAAATGGCGCCACTCGGTGGAAATATGAACGTAAGATGGAATCGAGTATTGGACATTCAGAATTCGCTGTATAAACTTACGGAAATTCTTGAGTTCATCAGGGTCTTCAAAAGGGTAAGCTCCAAAAAGCATGGCATATAATGTTACACCACATGACCACACATCTGCAATCTTGCCATCATATTTTTTTTTTAAGCAAGACTTCACTGATTCGGTTTGTTGCAGGTTCGGATTAGGTGAAGAGGATGAACAGTAGCTTCGTTCTTGGCTCGGAATAAGCAGTTGATAAGCAGTGATGGTTGTTCGAAGGAGGTGGCGACAAGTTGGTTTATGTTTTTAGGTAGTCTCGGCTAGAGGCAGGGGTTCGAGTATCAATGGAAAGGGCGAAGGTGGAGAGGTGGATTCGGTGATGATGCAAAACCGAAGGCGGTTGCCGGTTTCTCGATGAGCAAGGATGGAAAGGTCTCGAGTCTCGACTAGAGGGCGAAGAACACTGCATCCGTTTTTTTATGTTTCTTTTCTTTGTTGCAGGTGTTTTTTGATGGAGAAGATGAAGAGCACCAGTAGGTTTTTTCTTATGTTTGTGATGGAGGTTGTGTAAGGGAGGTCTAAAGTGGAGGCTATGGATCTGGTTTGTTCCAGTTCCAAATCAACAAAGGAGTGGCTCTAATGGTGAGTTTCTCGGTAAAAGCTATTCGCTCTTTTCTTCTTCTTCCTGGTTCGTTTCAATCGACAGAAAAGGAATCAAATACATACGACAACTTCGATGAATCGGAAGGGCGCATGAACACGCAATCGACTGGGTTTACCTTTACCATTAGATCCCGATCATCCAGTCGATTGGGGTAATTGATTTGGGAAAAATTCAATTTTGTTGATGAATGGAGGATACAGTCGACTGGTGTAATGGTTTAGACGAAAGTAGGATTGTTGGGTACCCACTCAACCGGCTCAACCGGTTAAAAGACAAAAAAACAAGTTTTTGCAAAATGTGTGGTTTTTTTTGGAAAAAAACAAACCTTTTGGTTTAAAACGAAAAAAACAGTAAATATTGGGTCTTTATTGGAAATAACCCTACTTTAAATGCTAAACTATGAGTTAGGTTTTTGAGTTTTTGCAAAGAGTATTGAAAACACTTCGGCCAATGTTATACTTTTTTTAACACAATACAACCAAATATTATTTTTGGACAAAAAGAGTGATTAATTTACATAAAAAGTCCGATATTTGTGGTTCCAAAATAAATGTTTTGGAGGAGAATGTACGATTCCCAAACATAGGGCGGCTAAAAGGAAAACAGAGAATCGTTCTTCTTTGTAAATAGACCAAAGAGCAAGGGGCATTTCAGTCTTTTCCACCCAAACCCTAAATCACCTTTCTCATATAAGATCATCTTTCTCGCCGCCGTTCCAAATCCCAGCTCTCAAACCCTACACAGCCGAGAGAGAAAGAGAGGGAGAGCGAGAGAGATGAAGTACAATCCACGAGTCACCAGCTCTCGTCGGAAATGTAGGAAGGCACACTTCTCTGCGCCATCCAGCGTCCGCCGTGTGTTGATGAGCGCACCGCTTTCCACGGAGCTGCGCAGCAAGTACAACGTCCGGTCAATCCCAGTCCGAAAAGACGATGAGGTACAGGTTGTTCGTGGTACCTACAAGGGCCGTGAAGGTAAGGTTGTTCAGGTCTACCGTCGCAAGTGGGTTATCCATATCGAGCGGATCACTCGTGAGAAGGTTAATGGGCAAACAGTCAATGTAGGCATCAACCCTTCAAAGGTTGTCGTTACTAAGCTCAAGCTTGATAAGGACAGGAAGTCGTTGCTTGACCGGAAGGCGAAGGGCCGTGCCGCTGATAAGTCAAAGGGAAAGTTCACCGAGGATGATGTAGCCGCCGGTGCCTCCCTCCAAGAGATCGATTAGGTTTTTCATTTTTCTGGTATCTTATTAAATGCTTCTTTTGAATATGTTATGTTACATTGAGGATTGTTTTTGGGAATTCTTGTTGATCCTACAGATTTCATCAGTTTAATGCGCTTTATCTTACTTCATCACGAATCATTCTGTTAATTGGGAGCAATTTTGGTTTTTTTTTTTTTATCAAACATTGTGTGAAATAACTGATGTGTTGGTTGCATTGTTGATTTCTCATTCATCTTTAGTATAAAATGATTGTCTCCATATACATGAGTTGAAGCGGTTCTATCGAGTGAATCTGTATGATTATGATTTGTGTAACGAAATCAAGCTACTTGATTTAAATGTCAAAAACTAGGATGGGTTCTTAGACTTGAATAATGGTTTTTCTTGGGTGTTTGAAAGGTCAATTACAGGTTTTTGTTTAGAAGTAAGAAGCTTTATACTTGGAATTAGTTTGGCTCTCTATTAAAATGTTTACTTTTACCAAGTCTCAAGTGTTGCATACATTAGGTTAATTCATTTTTCAATGTAGTTTATAAGGGTTTTGAATGTGTTAAAAGATTATAAAATAGAGATGCATTTATTTGCAAAATAATGAGATGTGTTATTACTGTATAGATGATACGTAACACACTAGATTTTGTCATTGGGCTAGCCAATGAAAATATGAAATTGATGTGATTATTTTTGTAAGTGGAGTTACATAATTTGGGAAAAAGGCTGATGGCTTGGCATCTCCAACCTAACATCATTTTTAGTGTATAAGTTTGTAAAAATGTACTTCAACCCCATTCTGGTTTTCATCCTAAATTGGCGTTATATGATATGCCAAATTTGGTATTATAAGTTATAAAACTGAATTTGTATTATAGTTTCATACTTTCATGTCATTTGTGGTTGCTCTTGTTTGGGTTTTCAAATATATCAAGTATACCAACTTTTGTCAAATGTTTATATACAGTTAAAAGGTAATGATAAACAGAATATATGGAATCTTTTGATGATGAAAATGAAGCCGCGAATGAACTATTATTAGAGAATATACATGATATTTATGTTTCATAGATACACAAAAGATCATCAAACCCCATTTATTTTCTAAATATCGTTGCTGCCACAGCAGATGCGGGAGGCCCATAAAGCTTACGAAGAACAACCACAACAATGTTATTGTTGCCTGGGGTCTATGAAACATGTACTAGGCTATTTGGTTAATGACTTAATTCTATTTCAAAACTTCATGAAAAAAGGGCTAATATCTTTTCTCTTTGTAATGATGGGTTGTGGTTCTAGTACATGATTTTGGGAGGATTGATGCCACTTTATTTGCCCTTTCCTAAACTTTTACACTCTTAGAATCGGGAGTGGCTACTAACTTACGTGCATAAACAGATGAAATTGAAGTACATTTTTGGATTTTGTGACCACGCATCCCAATTTTTTCTAGCCTTAGCCGTTCTAAAGGGAAATCAACTAAAGAAAACACATCAATGCTATTAAAAAAATGTAACACTTCCGATACTTGGACTCATGGAAGATGAACATATTCCGATAAGTCCAAAGAACCCAAATGACTATAGAAAAGATCACATCCAAATTCACCAATTCCTTATGAGCATTAGGATGACTCCCAATGCTTGGACTGATGAAAACAACTACTTTATCCGACCTTCTCGATGAGGTAAGTATTTCCTTTGACAATGATAAGTGGGTTAGGGACTTAATCACTACAAGAGAATTTTCAGTGGCTTCATTGCACCACTTAATTGATGATCGAACGTTGGGTTACTTTGGAATGGTTACTCGGTGGAACAAAACGGTCAATATTAAGATTAACGTTTTAGCTTAGAGAGTTGCTTTACATAGGATCACTATGGGGATTAGTTTTGAGAATCACATAATTGATATTGACAACACCTCTCTATTATTTGTAATTTTTCTTGGATTTGTGGGATAAAATCCTTCGTTGATGGGATAATTATGATATTATTCCTCCTCGGTTTTGAAGCGATTGAAGATTTCAGATCATGTGCAAGGATCTATGTATGTTAAGCTGTGTTTATATGTGGTTATCTCGTTTTCTTTTGGGCATTATGGAGATATCACAAGGGGACCTTTTTTGTTTCTTGTACTACGACAATGTATTCTTATCTTTCAAAATATTTTGATTCATTCTTTTTCTTTAGATTTCTTGTAGAATCAAAAACAGTAGTCTAGATTGGTTAGCTTGGTAAAGGAACCAAAGTTAGCTTTTCAAAGGTTAATTGTATTTTATGTACTGTTTTGACTGGTTTTTGTTAATCTTTTTGTTTTTATATAGGATGTCCATCTCCCATGATAAAATAGTTGGCTTTTCGGGGAGCCAAAGTTGGTTGTTCAAACCGACATTTTGCCGAAGAGTAAAACCGATATTTTCTGCCAAAATTAAGATTTTTTATGACATTATCCCTTTTATATACCTTTTTGTTGTTGTTCAAACAAAAATCAAGCATAAAAGTCTCTACTAGATGAGTGACATAAGAGCTCAATATACACACAAGGAGTCCAATCTATATTTCTAGAGTAAATTACACGAATGGTCCCTATGGTTTGGGGTAATTTGCATGTTTGGTCCATAATTTAATTTTTAACTCGGAAGGTCCCTACAGTTTGTTTTTGTTGCGCTTGGTCCCTGTCTTACCTAAAAAGACTATTTTGCCCTTAATTTTTTAGTTTATTTAAATAATATGGGGTATGTAAGGTAAGGTAAGATAATGTGGAAGTGGAGTTGGGGGTGTGTTTATATAAATAAATTAAAAAATCAAGGGCAAAATAGTTTTTTTAGGTAAGACAGGGACCAAGCGCGCAACAAAAATAAACAATAGGGACCTTACGAGTTAAAAAAAATAAGTTAGAGACCAAACATGCAAATTACCCAAACCATAGAGACAATTCGTGTAATTTACTCATATTTTTATAATTATACCACCCCAAAACCAACAAGATTGGTTTGTATACTTTATAAACAAATTCCTTCAACTTATGTTGTTATTGTTGTTATTATTATTATTATTATTATTATTATTATTATTATTTATTTTTTTTAAGCCTAAACTGCACAAATGATCCCTGTGGTTTGTCGAAAATTGTCATTTTGGTCCAAAAAGGTTTGGACTAGCACCAGTGGTCAAAAAGTTTGATTGTGTTGCGAGTTTTGTCCAATTTACTTTTAATTTTTTTTAAAATGACAGATTTGCCCTTTTTTAATTTTATTTTCTATTTTTTTTATTTTGTTATATTTCTGATTTAAATTAAACAAAAAGAAAAAAAAGAAATCTATTTCCAGTCCTCCCTCCTGTAAACAACACCACCACCACCGATCACCATCTCCTCTCTCTCTCTCTCATTGGAACACCTCCGATTTCAACCCTCACCAGCATGCTCTTTGTTTCTTTTCCGGCGATGGAAACAGATATGCAAATGAGGGTTTGCTTCGAGCTAGGTTTTGCTGAGGAACAATCAAGTCGAAGGAGAAGATGAAAGGCGGCGAGAGGCAATATGTTTGCTTCTGACGGTGGTATCCCACAAATCGGCTTCCAGATCTAGACGGAGGAGGATCTGAATCGTCGCCACCAGATCTGTCGATTCAGGCTTTGTAAGGATGCATTTCAGATTCTCAGAGGTGGCTTCGTCTAGAAACCCTCAAGATCGACGACCTTCCAGATCTGTAAATGTCGTTGTCTTCACAAATCAATGATAGCTTTATCTGGAAACTTGAGCCACAAATGTCGCCTCCGTTTCTCGCTCCTTCTCCAGCGAGTTTCGTCTTTCTCAATCCGACGACTAGTTAGGGTTTTAAGATCCGACAAGTTAGGGTTTCAGATCGCCGACGTCCTTCTTCTTCACTGCAAACCCTAATCCATATGAGATAAGGTGGCGACGCTAGGGTTTCAGAAGTTGGTGATGGTTTTTGTCAAAAATCGGGGTTATGTATATGGTTTCCGGTGGAGAAGACGAACCAAGAAAGTGACAAAAGGGTCTCCGGTGGTGGGAATTGATTAGGATTTGTAGTAGGTGATGGCGACTTTCAGATTTGTTGGAGGTTGCTGGTGACAGAGACGATGGGGGATGAAGGTGGCGCTGAAGGCGGTGGCGCCAACGACGAAGACGGTGGTGGCATCGACAATGATTTTGGATGACGGTGGTTTCCTTCGGTGACATCGGTTTCCAACGATGGCACCGGTTTCTGGGCTTTATGAACTGTTCTTGAGAGCCATGAAGAACAAACGAAGAGGGAAGGAGAAATATTGGGGAAGAGAGAGAGAGAGAGAGAGAGAGAGAGAGAGATTTATTTTTATTTTCTTGTTTTTTAGAGAGAGATAGAGAGATTTATTTTTATTTTTATTTTATTGTTTTTTTTTAAATCTGAAAATCAGGAAAACAAATAAGAAAAAAGATAAAATATATTAACAGGAGCAGATCCGTCATTTTGAAAAAAATCAAAACAGATTGGACTAAAGACGCAACAAAATGAAAGTTTGGACCACTGGTGCTAGTCCAAACATTTTTGGACCAAAGTGGCAAATTTCGACATACCAAGGGACCATTTGTGCAGTTTTGTGTTTTTTTAACGAAAGGTTACATTCTTTATATTTATTTTAAGCTAGTGTCAACAAGATCTACAAAACGAAAGTATTTATAAGGATGTTATTGGAAGTGAAATGGACTTGTGTGTGTATGTGCGTGTGAGTGATGGGCCCATAGGATTAGTTAAAGGTGTACTAAGGAAGCAACAAAAACAAGGGCTGATTAAGAGAAGCCAACAGCAAGCTATCATTCAAGTTCAAAATCAAGACGTTCATTCATTCATTCATATACTTGAACCTCACGCTATTTGAGAAACAAAACCCACTCAACGTTCCCCTTTCTTTTTCTTGTGTCAAATTTTAATCAACTTCTAACTAATTTCCTTCCCACATCTAATAGCGACCCTCTTTCTAACTTCCCAAATACATAAACCCAACAAACATATTAATTTTATACTCGTCGCTTTTATCTACTTAAATAAAAATTTTGAATACCCTCTTCTATAATTACAAATCATCATTCATAAAAGATAAGTTTATATATGACAAAATAAATGAGAAATGATTCGTATACAATAACTTTTTTTATACACAACAATTTATGTTTTATAAGGTTGTACAATACAATATTTTAAACATACGGAAAAAAAAATATTATGTAGGAATCCATTTCCAAAATGAATGAGTTATGTTTTGGAAAAATGGTCAATGCTTACAACGGATCAGGTCGGATTTTGTTGCTCGTTGTTACATTTTTTGTTTAATTTTGTAAACAAAGAATATATTATATGTGATTATAGGAATTATTATTAAATGAATATGTAATTTTATTAGTAAAGACAGTTTAAGAGGTTTGTAAACACTTTAATATTTTTGGACATCTTATAAACTACGAAACGATAGTAAAATAAAACCAAAAGAACAAAAAGCGGTTGAAATCATATTAATACCGGAAAAGGAATTTTAGATATGACCATAATAAAAACAAATAATAATACATCAAAATACCAAATAGTCAAACTAAGTTTACCAAAAGGAAAACAAGAAGGAAAGTCGCGATTCTTTTTTAGCAGAAGACACATCCTTTTCACTAAATTATAATACATTTCATATCATTTTGATTATTCATTATTTTCTCCAAATTAAGCATTATTATTATTTTTTAGTGTTAACCGTTCATCGATACTTTTTTGGTTATTAAATCTATTTTAGTTCTTATAACTTAATTCATAATGATTTTTTGAAAAAAAATCATTTAACTATTTTTTAATAACATAATTCTTAATTTAGATCATACATCTTTCTATGCATAGTCTTTCAACTTTGATAATCATATAAAAAAAAAAAAAAAAAAAAACTCTATTTTGAAGAATTTCATCAAATATAATTGGAGTATATGGAAATACATTTTCAAATAAGGAATCACTATTTGATTCTAAGTTTACAAACAAAAAATTGGTATATATTTACCATGGTTTTCAAATCGATTCTCAAATTCTTTAGAGAGACACCTCCACATTTTCATACTATAGGTAAATGTTTCATTTTTTTTTTCCAAAACCAAAAGGTTTCATTTATTCTATATTGTCGGAGTCTTTCTACAAAGACAAATTTTGTTTTCATACATGAAGCGAAGCTGATATGAGTTGCTATCAGTTCCATAGCCAATGAATCGGACCTTGACTTGACAGGACACTACCACTCCGAAGTGGTTTTAAGGATTTTCTTCCATTTTTTCAAGATACCTTATTCAAATTAATTAGCCACTAAAATGGCTTTCCCCTTAGTTCAATATAAATATATAATTCAAGTTTGTGACATGGTTCATATAAAAATTGCTATAAACTCATATAGTGTCAGATTGATTTGATTCAAATTGGTGCGTAAAACTATATTATAAACATAAAATTCTTATTTTGAAGATTTTCCGAGATATATAGCCATTATGGGTTAAAATTCGGCTTTAATAGTAGATAATTCCTTTTACCATTAGTTAAGTGTCACTCGTCATAGTAAAGATCATATGAAATTCAAACGTTATTGGAATGGACCATTCAAATTTCTCGAGAAACCTAACATATTATTCTACGGCTTTCATGATTTAAGTTTTCTAAAATTTAGATGTTTAAAGGGCCATATTTATGTCTTTTAAAGACCTTTTGTTTTTGGACATGAACATTGTTGTCATCAGAGATGAGAAAATATTGTTAGAAAAATATAATACGTGATATTATAAATTGAACACGAATGATACAACCCAAACACATGAGATATCCACAATCGAAAGATATGACCTAAATCTAAGTTGTATGTCAAGAAAATGTGGGTTGAGGGTGTAAACACGCTTTCCTTAAAACATATTATACCCATACTATTGGATGTCCGTCTCCCATGATAAAACAGTCGCAAACAATTCCTTAAATCATAAAACATCACCGGATGTAACCTTTACATCGATGTAAAAAGAACTTACTTTATTTTCTTCAAGTTTGAGATTATGCGTCAACATTATGGAGCATAGTGGAAACCAAAATTGAATTTTGTTTGTAGTACTCGTAGTGTACTTGGTGGCTATATTTATATAGCAAAATCTTAACGATCATCGTTATCACGAATAATTGGCTTTAAGTTTACAAACCGTAATGGTCACCATTATGATTATTAACTTGACTTTACTAATGCAAATAGTGATGGTCATAATTATGGTGATTAACTCGGTTTTAATCAAACACCATGTAACCTTCAAATGAGTTCAGTTAGATTTTAAACCGTCGGGTATGAGCCTGTGGAGAGCTGTTACTACAAATTGATCCAACTCCACTATTAACACGAAGCGCGACGTTAAACATATATCGCGAAGAAGGGCACATGTGTCTAGTTCACGATTGTTTTGCGGATAATTGTGTCTACTAGCCATGTGATTTCAAAAGAAGGTTTCGATTGCAAAAAAGTGTATTTGAACGGATAGTCAACGCATTGAAAATCATGTATCATTTCTTTGAAGTTTTGTAATAAATTATAAATGTAGCTTTCAGATAAAATAAATACAATTTTTTACCTATTAAATTTATGTTTAGGTATGAATTTTTCCAAATGAGATACGATGCGAGAGGTAAACTAGGATTCACAAGGTTGCAAAAATGTGTTGCGACAATTAAGCTTATGGTTATGAGTCGTCTGATTCTATTGATGATTATATAAGAATGTCTTAGAGAACTGCACGTGAAAGTTTGTATAGATTGACGAGAGGTCTTGTCGAAACCTTCGGTGGCAAATATTTGTGCAAACATTTGTTGAAATGATATGCAACAACTATATGCGGCGCATGAAGAAAGACATGGTTTTTTGGGTATGTTTGGAAGCATTGATTATACACACTGGAAATGGAGAAACTGTCATGTGGCGTGGAAAGACCAATATGCAAGTGGTCATCATGGAGCGCCTTCGTTGGTATTAGAGGCTACTGATTCCCAAGATTTATGGATTTGGCATGCTTTTTTCGGGGTTGCGGGTTTTGAAAACTACGTCAACGTTCTTGATCAGTCACCAATATTCGACGATCTTTTGTCAGGAAAGACACCGGACGTTCCTTTCACAATGAATGAAAATCAATATAAGTTTGGGTATTACCTTATGGATGGAATATATCTAGCATATCCACATCCGTGAAGGCATTCGACACCCGGTAACTCCAAGAAACAAATTTTTCAAGAGAAGACAAGAAGGAGCACCTAAGGATATGAAATGTGCTTTTTGGAGTTCTGAAGTCGAAATGACACATACTTGAACATGCGACACGACCATAGCAGTTAGACATTCTGCAAGATTTTATGTATGCATGTATCATAATGCATAACATGGTGGTTGGAGATAAATGATGCAATATTGAAGTGTATTCGGCTACGGAACCCAGACACGTGCAATTTTAACTAGAGACAATGAAATATTTAACTTATATTCAAGAAGCACAAAACACAAACAACTTCGAGAAGATTTGACAGATTATATGTACGATGGTAACCAAGATGAATAATTTAGGGAAAAAATTGTAATTTTTTTTGTTTTTAAATGTTATTTTTTTGTTGTATTTTTTTTTAAGAATTTTAGATGTTATGTTTAATTAAAAAGTTAGATTTTATTTAAATAAAATGTTTTATTAAATTAATTTTGTTATTATAAATTTTAATATTAAAACGAGAAAAATAAAAAAGTGATGACATGGAAATTAATGAGTGTTATAACATGTTGCCCATTTCCTCGATAGCGTCCCAAAAATTAAGACTAAAAATTTCGATTTTTAAATTAATAAAACCATTATCCAAAACAACATTATAGAAATCATGGTGAATTAAAGTGTATCAATAACATCCAAGTACATCAGAGTAATATAAAATGCGGAACGATGTGGTATGTGCACTGTAATCATCCCGGGCTCTTCCCCTTCGAACCAGAAGTACCTGAAACATAAACTGTAAACCGTAAGCACAAAGCTTAGTGAGTTCCCCAAAATACCACATACCACACATATCAAACATATAATGGGCCCCGCCCGATATCAGGCTCCGCTCGTAACAGATCTATCAATCATCAGGCCCCACCCGGTATACATACAACACATAAACACATGTATAAAAT